ATATATATATATATATATATATATATATATATATATATATATATATATATATATATATATTGGGGTGTACGTACAGCTGGATAACAGGTTCTACGATAGTGGTGGACGGCGGGCAGTCGCTGAGTTGCTGCAATTTTACAGTTTTGCAGCCACAAGTAAATCAGAGATGGAGAGAAGCTCCTTTTCAGGCGAACCTCTAATCTGCTGCTGCTGCTGCTGCTGCTGCTGCTGCTGCTGATGCTGCTGCTGATGATGCTGCTGATAATGCTGATGCTGCTGATAATGCTGACGCTGCTGATAATGCTGACGCTGCACCGCATGCAGCAGCAGCACAAATACCGCTTTCGCAGCGCATGCAGCAGCAGCAGCTCAGCTTGTAGCTACAGCAGCAGCAGCAGCCAAGGCAGCAGCAGCAGCAGGTGTTGCTGCTGCTGCTTCTGCATGTAGCAGCAGCATAAATATCTCCCTAAGCAGCACATGCAACCGCAGAAGCCGATCTTGTAGCTGTAACAGCAGCAGCAGCAGCAGTTGATGCTGCTGCATCGACAGATAAACCGGGCCGCATGTTTGGCGGTTGCGGGGGGGACTCTTTTCTCTCCCTAAACCCTAAACCCTAAACCCTAAACCCTAAACCCTAGTCCTTAGCTCACAGTGGAGCTGTGTTGTTTCTCTGCTGCTGCTTCTTTGGGGTTTTTATAAAAGTCTGCGGTGTAGGTACACCTCAGACTGTCAACTGCAGACGATTTGCTGAGACAGCAGAAACAGCAATAAAAACAAAGTGGAGAGGAGACAAACAAATCAAGAAAATAAATGCAGCTCGATTTATCATGCGCTGCTCTTATTCTCTTGATGCTTGCGGTGTATCCACAGCAGCAGCAGCAGCAGCAGCAGCAAATATCTTGCTGCAGCACCTGCTGAGAGCGCTCGTGCAGCAGCAGCAGCAGCAGCAGCAGAAGCACGAAGTTTGCTGCTGGTGCAGCAGAAATAGTGTTGCACCAGCAGGTTGTTGTTTGTCTATTCGGTGTCTCTAAGAACAGCCCCACTGCAATAGTATCGGGGCCCCTAACTCTAAACCCTATACCCTAAACCCTAAACCCTAATTCGTAGTACGCTGGGAGGCACTTATTTCCCTACGGAAACGCAAACAGCCTGTAGGAAGACCACTATGGTTTAGGGCGTAGAGTTTATGGTTTAGGGTTTAGGGTTTAGGGTTTAGGGTTTAGGGTTTAGGGTTTAGGGGAGCATCGATTCTCCGACTCGTCTCCTGCTGCTGCGTGCCTTTGCTGGGCGGATTTTTTTTATTTGTAGATGGATAAGGGTTTAAATTATTATAAATAATTAAAATAAATGCAACATTAAGCAGTTATAATAATTAAAATTGAATTAATTTGAATACTTTTGCAAGAAAGCCTTCTTTGAATTGTATAAGGTGGTGCACAGTGTATACGGACCGCTGGTGTATATATAATAAGCAGGGAAATGAGGGTTTCTGGGGTTTAAAAAGAAGAAAGGAGTTTAAAATTGAATTTAAAAAGGAAAAAATATTAATTTAATTAATTAAATTAATAAATTATACGCAAAATTAATGCAGTCTTCCCTGCTGCTAGCTGCTCCTCAGCAGCGGTCTGAGGTGTATCGGCAGCTCTCTGAATTCTTTCTTCGTTTTAAACTCCAAATTCATTTGTTTGCTTCCATTATTTATTGCCATTTTGGAAATTAATCAACACTTTAAAACAGTCGCAATGTGATTGCTTCCCCTTCCTGCATGCCCTCTAGACCCTAAACCCTAAACCCTAAACCCTAAACCCTAAACCCATGACAATAACTTCTCCACCATATACTTCATTTTCTTCCCACATTTCATAAAAAAATATTATTCCTTACAGCTTCCTCCTTCCCTTCTCCACAGCAGCAGTATTTGCAGCAGCGGCAGCAGCAAAAGTTTAAATAGCAGCGGAAGCAGCAGCAGAACCAGCAGCAGCAGCAGCAGCAGCAGCTGGTTCTTTATAAGATGCTGGGTAGACGGCGTTACTGCCGTTATCGCTGCACTCCTCCGCCTGTCCCTGAAAGATGGATCTCCACACTCGACCAGAATGGTAAACTTTTTGCTGCTGCTGCTGCTGCTGCTGCTGCTGCTGCTGCTGCTGCTC